CTTCAGGATTTGAAGGGAGCATATTTCCACTTGGGATGCAGTTTGTCCCAAGATAATATAGCTGTTTTTTTTTTGAGACAGAGTCTTGCTCTTCTGCCCAGGCTGGAGTGCAGTGGTATGACCTGGGTTCACTGCAAACTCCACCTTCCAGGTTCAAGCAATTCTCTGCCTCAGCCTCCTGTGTAGCTGGGATTACAGGCACCCGCCACCATGCCTGGCTAATTTTTGTATTTTAGTAGAGACAGGGTTTCACTATCTTGGCCAGGCTGATCTTGAACTCCTGACCTCGTGATCCAGATATAGCTGATTCTTCTTATCTCCCCGAGGGATAGAGCTCTGATCCATGTATTAGATGATGTTAAGGATGTTAGTTTTAAGTGGGTCCCAGAGCAAGGAGGGGCTCTGAAGTAGTTTTAGGGTACAGGATTAGCAGCCCTGTCATATTTGAGCAGCACTTGAGTCATATTTGGCAGAGGCCATGGTACTAGAAGTATCTGGGTGTTTGAGGATGTTAATGGAGACTCTTGCAAATTCCTATAAGAGAGTCACAGCAGAGACCCTTAGGATTTTGAAGCAAGGCCATGCAATCTGCAGCAGAGAATTCTAAACCACTCAAAAGACAGCTCCTGGGAGGGATGAAGCTGTGATTGGGCCCAACAGCATTGGTTTGTGGTAGACAGAATAATGACTCCTCCAAAGATGTTCACATCCTAACCCCTGAAACCTATAAATGGGTTATTTTACGTGGCAAAAGGAACTCTGTAGATGTGATTATGTTAAGGATCTTGAGATGGGAAAATTATCCTGGATTATCTGGATAAGCTTGATGTAATGACAAGAGCCTTTATGAGAGGGAGGCAGATGGGTCTAAGTCAAGGAAGAAGTGATGATAGAAGCAGGGGTTATAAGCAGAGAGGGAGGAGAACTGAAAATGCTACACTGCTGGCTTAGAGATGGAGAAAGGGGCCATGAACCAAGAAATGCAGGAGGCCTCTAGAAGCTATAAAGGGAGGGAAATAGATCCTTCTCTAGAGCCTCTGGAAGGAATACAGGCTGGCAGTCCCTGCATTTTAGACCAATGAAACTGATTTCTGACTTCAGAATGGTCAGTTGATAAATTTGTATTGTTTTTAGCTACAAAGTATGTGGTAATTTGTTACAGCAAAAATAGGAAACTAATACAAGCCTTTCTCACTTAGGCTTAGAGACATTCAGCCTGCCGAATGTCTAACCTGTCGTTAACAGAGGTTAACACTGTGCCCATGATACAATGTCATTTCTTGATTGGAACTACTGGCTACTTGATGGCAAGTTGACTGCATCTACCTGACTAGGATTAACTTGTTTTCTGAATGTAGATTTGCCTTTACTGTCTGCAGGGTTTCATCCAGCACCATTCTCTGTGGACTCACAAGTGTGTGATCCACTAAAATAAGATACTGCATAACACTGCCTCCGACCAAGGGTCCCATTTTATAGGAAAGGTTATCAATGAAAACATGACTATGGGATTCACTGTTCCTGTCACATACTCCACCCTACAGAAGCTCCATCCTGGTGGAGTGATGACATGTCTTCTTAAAGGAGAGGACACCTTGCAACATTGGGTGTTATCCTCCAGGATGTACTATTCTCCTTAAATCAATGGTCACTATGTGGTTGTGTCTCTAATAGATAGAATATATGAGTCCAAAAATCAAGGGCTGAAAGTAGAGTGACCTCAGTAATCCACTGTATGCTTCCCATTTCTACAACTTTAGAATCTGTGGGTCTAGAGATCCTGGGTCCTAGAGGGGAGAAAATGAGTCCCACTAAACTTTAAGCTATAACTGCTACCAAATTATTGCAGATTCCTTATGCCAGTTAACTTGTAGGCAAATAAAAGAGTTACCATACAGATAGGGGTAACTGGCCCTGATCATGATGGTGAGAGAGGGCTTCTACAAAATAATCGTGATGCAGATAAATATTTGGCACTCAGGTGACCTGATGGATCATTTCTTGGTAGTCTCATACCCAGGTTTAACTGTAAGTTGAAAAGTACAGCAAACACAGCTCAGTAAGGGCATGGTAACCCTCAGGACCTTATACCCCTCAGTGAGGGTCTGGTCATTCTACCAGGCAACCCAGAAGGGCCTTGATGAAGGCTTCAAGGATTGGGTGAAGAGTAAGGAGATGATGAGAATCAGCTATACAGCCTTGGGACCAAATGCGTAAATGTGGGCTGTGGTTTGTCCCACTGTCCCTCTTTTTATTTATGGCTCCAAGAATTGTGACAACAGAATTCAGAAGAAACTATATCTGAATGGAGCAAATTTAATGTGAGAAGCAAGTGGACCTGAGCAGTGCAGGGGGCAAACAAACTGTCATAAATGCTGTGTTGCCTGCCCAGATTTGTGTCACGGGGGCATAGCACTGTCTCTTAGCTGCTGTGAATGTTGGCTGCTGTAGCAAATCTTTTAAAAACACGATTTAAAAGATTTTCCTTTCTCCAATGTTCTCCAACACAGTATCATTCAATGTTTTGTTTGTTTGGTTTTTCTCCGTAAATGAGTTGTGGTTCTAAGCAAGGAATTCGGCAGTTATTTGGTTGAACCTCTTATGATGTTGGTATTATTATCCCCATTTTACTATGAGGAAACTGAGGCATGCAGAAATTCATTTAATGAACAGGTTCTTCTGTACAAAGATTCACCTCATTAATGCCTGAAACAAGATAGACATTATTTTATTTATTTATTTTTGTGGGAAATAGGATGGAGGTAGGTGATCCAGGGCTGCTAGATGTGAAAATAAATGAAATTTAAAATTTATTGGAATCCCCTAGACACTTTAAGCCTTGAGAGAGATGTGACTGTGATCTGAGCCAAATGTGATTACAATCTCTGTTCTTAGATTAAAAATTAACTTGCTTTATCATTTTTCTTGTTCAGTTCAATGTCTACAGAGAATTAAATATCAGGGACAAAACCTCCTGCCTTCTTAATTAATGTCCCTTATTATAGATTAATTTCTCCTTTGTTGTCTTGCTTTGCCTAGACCAGATGACAGAAAACTCATGGTTATTACACCCTCTGTAAGAACGTGTTAAGTGTACCATTCCCAGAAAGAAATACTGCCTATAAGCAAATTGCTATATGTGCCAACCTTGTATGAATAATGTAATTGTGCTAAAATCTCCTTTGTCTCTGCCTATAGAAATAAAACCTTAACTTCCTTACTTTTGTACACTGACTCTATTCCTTTGGAGATGGTGTTTCTGGGTGGTCCGTCTTCCCACTTGATCTTGAAGAAACTCTCTTTAAGTTAGATTTTGATTATTTTAGGTCGACATAGGGAACTTCTGCCATCCTCAGTTGGTGTCTATTTCTGGATCCAGGATGGTTGCTTTGGTTCCCACACTCATGTTCTCATTGCAGAGGGAAGAAAAGAAGAGTACAAAAATGCATGCTGTTTATTTAATGAATGTTACCTGGAAATTGCACACTTCCACTCGTATACTTTTGGCCGAATACAGGTATACAAAAATACCCACATCTAGAAAATCCCGGGAAATGGAGTCTTTAGGTGCATAGTGGTGTCTTTGAGTTCTCTATTACCAAAGAAAAAAAGGAGAGAATGGATACTGGAATCGCTAGCCAAAGGCATGTACTTGGTTGCAGTACATCTGAGATTCAAACCAAAGTCTACGAACTCCAAGCTGTACTGTATAGCCCTTGGCACCTAGCTGGACCACAACAGTTTGCCCTTTGAAAAATTTCTTGGGATATGTTCCTGTCAGAATTTCATTTCTAGATATCTCTCCAGGAGTGTAGCAGGGTGTGTGTGTGTGTGTGTGTGTGTGTGCGTGTGCGCGTGTGTGTGTGTTCTTTTATTAGAAAACAAAATTATTTAACTTAATTTATTTCTTTTTCTTGCTGTAGCTATCAGAAAACCTGAGCTAAATTTAAAGCCATTGCTATTGTTAGTGAAAAAGTTTCTAAGCCTGTTTTACGCCTTCCTCCACTGACTTCACTTAGCGGTTTCTTTCTCTCCTGCCTTCTTTCCCAGACTCTTTCTTCCTTCCTTTCTCTTTCCTTCTCACCACTCTTGGTGTCACTCTATCTCTTCTATTCTCAAAAGCTCTGGTGCCTGTTGTTTCCTCTCCATATCCCCACTGCCCATATTTTGAGAAAGAATAAGCCAAGCAGCGGATGGGAATGGGGTGGGAAAAGAGGATGAAGACAAGTGGTGAGTCAAAAATGTCCCTCTCACATATTCATTTTTTAAAACTTTTATTATTAGTTTTTATTACACAAGTAATACATGTTCATTGTAGAAAAATTAGAAAACACAGAAAAGCAAAAAGAAAAAATAATCACCCATAATCCCACTACCCATAGATAACTACTATTAACATTTTAGTATGTGTCCTCCTAGCTTTCTTATGCATATATATATATACATACATAGATATATTTATATATAATTTTCTTTTTACAAATATTGTGTCATACTATACATACTGTTTTATAACATGTGTTTTTCATTTAATATATATTGTGAACATCATTGTTTATTCCCTGAAAAATTATACAGATACTACATGCTCATTGTGGAAAAATTAGAAGTTACAGATATGCAAAAAGAAAATATAATTGCTCCAAATCTCACCTCCCAGAGATAAATGTTGTTAACACTTTGGCAAGTATCCTTTCAGACTCTTTGATGCACACATGCATACACATATTTTTAAAAAGGGATCATACTATAAACATTCCTCTATAACTTCCTTTTTCATCTAACAATATAGCTTTTACATTTCAATTAATACACATATGGTGCGTATTCTTAATTGGTGCACAATATTCCATTGAAAGGCTGTACCATATTTAACCAACCCTATAAACTAGGCTTATTTACATTTTTCCACTTCTCCAAATAATGCTGCTATAAACATCCTTTCTTGCACATACTTTTGAATAATGAATAAATGCATCTTAGCTCATTTTATTTTCTGACCCATTTAAAGGAGTCTTTCCCTAAAGTAGAATTACTAGGCATGCAGGAAAAATATATTACCAAATATTTTTTCAGAAAGGTGGAATCAGTTTATATTCCTGTTGACTCTGTAAGATGATGTTATTTCCATACTTCCTTTTTGTCCCTGGGAACTTTAATTCTTTATGCTCTTTGCCTTTCTGATTTGTAAAAAGGAGTATATAGTATTAACTTGCATTTTTTATTACTAGTATATTAAAACACTTTCATATTTATTATTAGTACATTATTTCAGTTTACTGTGCATTGCCAGTTTGTGTCCTTGGTCCCATTTCTGTTGAAAAATTTGATTCTCCTTGAGTCATAAAATGTCATTTATTCATTCATTCATTATCCACTCTTTCAATAAGTATGTTTTCAGCATTTGCTTTGTGTCTAGCATTGTGTTAGGTGTATGGATACAACAATAAGCAAAATAGACAATGTTGCTGCCTTCTTATTCTTCCAATTTAATAGGGATTAACAGGCAATTAAACAAGCAATAATGAAAATGTTCGATAGGGAAAGAATCAAATGGAAACAGTTGGTTGAGAAGGGGGTTGTAGTCATGGAAATGTCCCAAAAGTAGTGATGTTTAAGCTCTTGATATGTATTTGAGAGCTATACTTTTTGTTGCATATATTGTTTTCTCATTTTGGTTTATTACTTTTTACTACGTAAGAGTTTTGCATTTCTAATTAGTCAAATTCCATCCATCTATTTTTTTCTGTTTTTTTTCTTTTGGTGTCACTCAAAGAAAGGCTTTTTTCACACTAAATTCAATAAATATCCACCCACTTTGCCTGCTAGTCTGTTGTATGCTTATTTATGTGCTTGAATATGTAAATCCTTATTTCATCTGGAATTTATTCTGATAATAATTATGAGATATAGAAATTTCTCTCAATAAATGGCTAACCAGTTATCCCAATATAAATTAATAATCCGAACTTTTTCATCTATCTGGAATGCCATCTTTATAATATACTCAATTATTTTATATTATTAGGTCTATTATGGTCTATATACTTAATTCTAATGATCTATCCTGAGGCCAATAGTATCACAGCTTTTTCGCATCCTACCTATGGTTACCTGAAAGTTCAGCATTTTGTATTTGGTGACATTCCTAAGACAAAGAAATGATAGATATTGCTTGTGTGTGTGTGTGGGTTAGTGTGGGAGGTTTGGCTGGATGATATCTTAATCCTTTCAATGTTGGCACTTTCAGAGTTTTAAATTCCAGATGGGCTCATTGTTAATCTGGTCAATTTGTTTGCTGTTTATAACAAAGTAGATGCTTTTACATTCTTTTGTGTCACTCTGAAGCTCAGCTTTCAGTAGGTGGCAGTATTGCCAAACACTGTTTCCTGATTGGTTTTATAGAAGCATAGAGAAACAAAATGGTCTGGCAATTTTGGAATTTACCCCAAGAGCTTTAATTGATTAGAGGAGGCATCAGGACTATGCTACTTCTAAAGCTCTCTATGTACCCCTGAATAATGGCATAACCAGTGGTTTGCAGTGAGTCGGTTCCTCACATGCAAAACATGACTGGCCAGATTTTTTTTTTAAGTGACATCTTGGCCTTGTGGGCATTTCTTTACTTGTCTTACACAAAAGTGCCTTTGGGCCCAGCCCCTGACTGATTTAAAGCCCAGAACTGTGGTTTTAAACAATGTGGTCATGGTGGAATTCAGGTGATTTTTATTTTCTTTCTATTTGGTAGTATTTTTCAGATTTCCCACAAAGAACATGTATTGTCTTTGTAATCTGAAAAAAAATCAACATGGGATATTAAAGATATAGTGGGAAAATGGGTGAATGTATGCCACAGAAGTTTACATCCTTTTCTGTTTCAAGCATGTGGCACATGCGACAAAATGAGTTCAGTGTTCTCTTCTTACCCCTAGAGATCAGCTCAGTGTTATTGCTAATCTGAAAGTGAATTACCAGCAGGAAGCAGAGACAGTAGAACTTTATCGCTTGGAACCACACCTGAGAAAATCCTTTGGTAGGTGAGAGGAGAGTGGGACAGCTCCTAGGGGATGTATTGGCTTATCTAAGGGGAGACGGTGAATTACCTACTATGTAACCATGAGACAGTGTAGGTTATCAGGATTTTGAGCACTAAACTTAATTTTAGGATATGCTACTGAAAGAGGAGCTATAAATCTTGGAGTTTACCTGCAGGAACTACAAAACTGATCAAAGACTGGAAAACAGGCACTATGAATAAAAGATACGGTAGCTGAATATATTACCTTAAATATGCAAAGTCTGGCTAGGTAATTAGACAAATTCTTATCTCCATGAATAGCTACTACAGCCTTTTCAGACATGGAGGTGAAACCTGAATTTATTAACAGTCTTTAGTTGTACAAAGGACAATTGCACAGAAGGTAAGTGTTACTTTCACACTGAGACTAAGGTGAGAATGAACACAAGTTAACCAAGCAAAAGTTATTTAGGTCAGGCATTTAGAGGAATGTGCTGAACAGCAAGATTGGGCTTATCAGTTAATAACTCTGCATGGATTAGTAGGAACTAGATTGAAGCTAGAGTTCATAGAAGTATGGGAGAGGGCTGAGGCAGGTGCTGAGAGCTGCCAAACTGGGCTACATCAAACTCTCAAAAACAAGGGATCTCAAATGAAATAACCTTAGGGGATGAAAATGAATTAGATTCAGAAAAGGATATTAAGCTTAAATCAAGGTTTTCAGACCAGGGTAATTCTGGGTTGCTTGTTTTGCCAGGGAGTATTCACCCTAAGAGTCTTTAAATAGCCAGATAGTTTTACAAATATTTGATTCAGAAAATTGTGATTTTCTCATACAGCTTTCCATGGCTACTTCTTTTTTTGAAGCCAGGTATGCCTATAACCATGCATTAGTTACTGGTTCATTAGAACACAGCTCTAGATTCAAAGAATAAGGCCAAAAACCAGCTGGTATGATCTAAATAGAGACCTGTGTAACATTCTCTTCCAACCCTTTAATTCCTTCACTTTGAATTAAAAGAGCTAGAAGAAAATTCCAAGTATAATTTTCACATCAGATATCAGGATGAGCTATATGAAATTGCCATTTCGTAGGTCAAAACAGTCAAATATAGGAAATTTCATATAATTCAACCTAATACAATAATTATTACAGTAGTGTTCATCCATACCTTTCTTCATCTTCACTAAAGCTAAAGGCCTTAATATATTTAGTTTTTAGGTCAAAATATTGGTATACATATAAATGTCTGTGCATATAAATATTGAGAAAAGCATAGGGTTGGGATTAAAGGCGTGTCTTAGATAAACCACTTATAGGCATCTAGCTCAACATTCTATTGTACTAGACACCGGTGCCTCCTGTCTGACTTGAAGATTTTTCAGACCATGGAAAACAAGAAAAGAAGTGCAAAGACTTGATCTCTTAACCCAAGGGAAATTTTGTCTGAGAAATGGGCCAAAGGAAGAACAGGGGAAAGTATAACAAGATTTGTACCATGTTATAAGTTTAGCGAAGAAAGATCACAACAAAGCTGTGAGCAGAAAAACAAAGCATGTGGCTTCCTCCTTTCTAAAATGTAGTATTGCTTAATGTGTCCTGCTTTCAAGAGTCTAAGTGTAAGACAAGACACCAAGTACACATTGGAAAAGTCTTATCTGCATAGTCATCTAAAATGAGACAAGCTTAGCTTAACTAAAAAACTTTATTAACAATGTAAAATGTTAAATATTGTTACGATCTGAGCTAATTCCAGCATGCCCTATAAGATTTAATACTATGCTGATGTGCAGACACCATGCTTCAGATTTCAATTAGAACAAAATGTAATAATATTTGATTTTACATTTGAGGGTAATTGTATATGTTACTACACCATTTCCTAACTGGATTACTTCATTCTCCAAGAAGCTGAAAAAGACACCATTGGATCAAAAAGAAATTAGTTGCCCATATGCATTTGTACGAAGGTATTAGGATTATTGTTTATTTACAAAATTTAAGTATTTTTTGTATGTGGCTTTTGTTGCATTATAAATTAAGATACTTTCATGTTGAAGCTCTTAGATTCTGACAGAATGGAAGACTAAATGTAAATGAGTGCAGAGAAAGCAATAGGTGAGGTGGTATATGTTTGCTTATAATATTATTTCTAATGATATTGATAGATTGGTTTTCTGAACACAGTTTTTCAGTTTTAAATAGATTTCTATGTTTAAAGACTTCTTTTATATATGATAATTTTTAACATGAGATCAGCAAGAGCTATAGATATACTATTATATGTGAAAAATTTTTCCTCTGTATAATACATTTAAAAAAACCTTTAAATAATTTAAAAATCATAAATCTTGCATCTGTCATGGCATGGTTTGGAGCAGACATGCACAATGTCAGCTTTAAAATTTCCTTTTAAAAACAGCCTGCTTTTTGAATCTGTTCTTTTTTTTCTTGACGGCAGCTGCTTTCAAGTGTAAAATCATTTAAAAGGGCAGGGGGAGGCGGATAAAAGTAATAAGGAAGCATAGAAAACATAGTCAAAAACCAATAACTGTGTGGTTCAGCTGTCTGGAGGTCCTTGGGTTTTGTGATTTTTTTTCAGATGTTCTCAGTGGGTTTCCAGGAGGAGCCACCTAGCTTGAGACGAGACAACACAGCCCAAAGAACCGTCTCTTCCGTCTTCTCACCAGGGGGTACGGAGTTAGATTCAGAAGGCTGCTGTCATCTGTGATGAGACAAAATGTGCACATGAGTGAGGTATAGACACAACAACCTGCTTTTTAGGAAGTGGCTTAAAAAATCCACTATCCTCCTAATCAGGATTTGTCAACCTCAGCACTGTTGGCATTTTGGACCAGATAATTCTTGGTTGTGGGGGACAGTCCTGAACCCTGTGGGATGATTAGCAGCATCCCTCAACTCATCAGATGCCAGTAGCACTGTATGACAATTTGTGACAACCAAAAATGTCCCTAGTTATGACCAAATGTTCCCTGAAGGAGAGGCAAAATAGCTCAAGGCTGAGGGCTACTGCTTAAATTTGAACTGAAACTGCTCAGAGGCAGTCTTTCAGTTGGGAAACGTATATATCTTATTGGAAAGAACTCATGCTTATGAGTAAGGCTGGCTTCTTTTCTAAACCTGCCTCTGCTATTTGCCAATTCTGTGACTTCGAACATGTAACTGAAGCTTGCTGTCTGTAAAATAGGATTTAATAAAACTTAGCCCAGGTGAGGATTAGATGAAATAATCTATGAAAAACATTTAGCCATGGTGGGTAGCTTAGTGTCTAGCACAGAGGAAGCATTTAGTTAAAATAGCTATTATTAACTATTTTCCTTTGCATTGGATCATTATTGTGCCTTCATTCACCGAATTCATGTCTCTTCATGTTTCAATTATTTCCTCTCGAGTCTTTTCTCAGCACTTCCTATAGATTTCTGTATACAAGGGCATTCAGAAAAGACTGCCAGCTGTTGAATTAATACGTTTTGGTTTGAGATTTTTAGGATGATGATGAGTAGAGGAAGAAATAAACCAGTAAACCTAATCTGGTTCAAAGAGTTGGGTTTTTTTAAAAAAGTGCAATCCAAAAGAGAAGATGGGTAGAAATATCCTGTTGAAACAGAACTGGCTGATGTGGGTTCAAGACACAAAGGACTACAAAAGGATAATCTAGAATTTTCCAACCAGGGCAGTGCTAGGACATGGTCAGACTGGAGCTAAGGTCAACAAAACGGTTGATTGGCATTGGTGACTGTTAATGTACCTAAGCTTTGCCCAGACTAGTTGCACTTTCCTTCCAGAGTGGGGTAAGGAGTTCCCTCCTTTTCTCATCCTAATCTTAAAGGGGATGGATGCTTGGCTAAGGGCACAGAAGCAGAAGTTAGATGAAGAGATAGCTAAAGTGAAGAATGTGCCCCACCTCAATAGAACTGATTTGTAGAAGGGGGCTTGTTTTCCTTGATTACTGAGCCTAGATGCTGTAAACCGAAAATAAAATTGTAAGTCCTCCCCAGCCACCTGAATGGACCCCTCCTCTCAGCTGATTGCATTCCAAAGTTATCTTGAAAAACTAGTTCAAGCCATGTTGGGAAGAGGCAGTTGAACTTTCTTCATTATACTCTCCTCCCATTGGGGATTCAGACAAAGCTGACTGGAGTTAACATCACACAGAGACCTTAAGACTGATAGAACAGACTCTTTAAGTCTGATAAGAAATATTTATAATTTATTTTCTCTGAAGCCTGCTACCTGGAAGTCTCATCTACATGATGATAAAACCTTGATCTCCACAACCCCTTATCATAATAACCTAGACGTTTCTTTCTATTGATTTCAGATCTTTAGATGATAACTCAACCAACTGCCAATCAGAAAATCTTTGAATCTGCCTATAACTTGGAAGCCCCGCTTCCAGTAGTCCTGCCTTTCCAGACCAAACCAACATACATCTTATTTGTATTGATTGATGTCTTATATCTTCCTTGGTATAATACCAAGTTGTAGCCTGACCACCATGGGCACATGTTCTCAGGACCTCCTGAGGCTGTGTCATGGGCATGTACTTAATCTTGGCAAAATAAATTTCTAAATTGATTGAGACTTGTCTCAGATGCTTTTTGGTTTATAATGCTCAGAAAACTGCCGAGAACAAAAATAGATCCTGGCTTTCCAGTCTTGTTACATAAAGTTTCATCTAAGTGCCTGGGCTTCTCCTCCCCTTCCCAAAGGCTCTAATGTGTCACACTTACTTGTAAATTAGTATCACCCACCAAGGTTGACAGTGTTCCTTAGAATGTTGCACTATGTTATATATTTAGATAGAACTAGAGTAGCAAGTCCAAGCCAGAGAAGAAAACAGGCACCCCCGCTGGGCATATCAAATGAATCAAACACAGTCTACCCTCCCAGTCTCCAGAGATTAAAATCCTCTCTTAAAGCTCATATTCTGTTAACATGGAGAAAAATAGGACTGTAATTGTCCTTTCCATAGGGAAAATACTTTACTATAATCTGGATGTCAACATTTTGAGAGTGAAAAAGAGGATATCTTTCTTTTAAAGTTAACTTGCCCCCAAATAGTTAAGACACTGAAAACAATGTTAGATACTAAGCATTAGCCTCATTTTTCAGGAGAACGTTTCAGAGATAGACCATGAAATATTTGGAGCAGAAAGAAATAACTACTTTTCTCATCATTTTTAGGACTCTTACTTCTTTAACCATGAATTGATCAATGTATTTAACCTGGTTGGATATGGCAAAGATATAGCAAACTCGGAAGGGTACAGAATTTTACCTTTCAGTATCTCCTTGGACTCTGACTGATCTTCCTGAAACTCAAATTCACCCGGAATTCAATGCTTCCCTAAAACAGAGTCACCAAAACTATGAAGATATTTATGAGAAAGAAAGATCTTCATAGTGCTCTTTATTTAAGACTTGGAAGATCTATTTTCTGAGTTCTGGTATCTCCTTCCCTTTCCCAAACACTTATCTGATTTGTGGAGGGATTTAAGAGGTCTTCATATGTTACAGAATGCAACACTGATGTATTTTGCTCCTGTTAAATGAGGAAATGTCTACCACAATGTTATATTTACAAAGGAAAATGTATATGTTTATGTTGTGGTTGTATGTTTAGTTCCACTGTCTTGTTTTTGTATATATTAAAAGCAAGTAGGTATTATACACAGATATGAAATTTTATCAAGATTGACCCTTATATCTGTGTATTTATTACAGTGGATTGAAAACAAACCCAAAGCCTTTCAATAGCACAGCCTTTTGTGTTATTGAAATTCTCCTTGCTCAGCTTTCTTTATATATATGTGTGTGTGTGTGTGTGTGTGTGTGTGTGTGTGTGTGTATAATCAGATATACATGTATATATATACAGCATATGTATACACATTATGTACACATACATACACAATATATATATTTATGTCTGTGTACTCTATGTCTCTCTCACAAGTGAATAGAATTGTTAAGATTGATGAGAAAGTGCTCAGATGTTAAGCAAAGGGCAGGCTGCCCATTAAGGACAACTGCTGGTTTCGGGCATCTTTGTTGCACACTTGTGACACCTTTGCCTTGCTTAGAGCTTGTCTGACCATCACCTAAGGCTGAGGTGATAGAAAAGCTCAGAAATTCTTGGCAGAAATTCAGAGCAGCTTTCTATACTATGGGGAGCTGACACCTGCAGTAAATGCTGAAATTTACCAGCCAGTAATGATGCCTGGGATGGTCTAAAGTGCATCCAGCTCCAAGGAAATGTGTCTCTCCACATTGATTGAAATCCTGTCTCTGAAGGCCTATCTCAGGAGCTCCGGGGTAGGGCCAGAGAATCAGCATTTCTTACAAGTTCTCAGATACTGCTCCTAGTCCTAAAACCACACTTTCAGAACCACTGAATAAACAGAAGAGCTGCAAGAATGTAAGCAAAAGGGAATGTTTCCCACTCATTCTAAATTTTCTGGAATTATCCACTTGACCTTATCAGAAAACCTTTGATTTTTATTGCAAAAGTTTGTTTAGATGTGGCTTATAATTAAAACTTTTCTAGCATCTTTTCTCCAAAGTACGCACTCTCAGAAAACTATAACCTAAGACAGTTTTAAATGTGAAAATGAAAGGTGGAAAGGGAAGCAGAGTAAATAAAGCATAGGAGAAACTTTAAAAAAAAAAAAGTAGGAAATTTGGCCATCAGTAAGTTCAAACCTCAGTCATTCAATGTTTAATTCTTTTATAGTATTTAAAAATTTTTTATTTATTTTTGGAGAGACAGAGTTTTACTATGTTGCCCAGCCTGGTCTTGGACTCTTGGCCTCAAGCAATCCTCCCACCTCAGCCTCCCAAAGTGCTAGGATTATAGGAGTAAGCCACCATGCCCAGCCTCAATGTTTAATTCTTGAATGCTGCTAAAGCCAGGGACACTGCAATTCCCCCAAACCACTTCTCCATTGCTCAAATTTATTTTGCTAATAAAATATTACTTACACAAGTGATGAGAAATGCTTCCAATACACTGCAGTTACACATTTCTATTCCAGGGGAAAAAAGAGACCCTCAGGTAACCCAGTGGTTCACAAACATTAGCTGCATCAGCATCATCTGAGGGCTTGTTAAAGCACAGATTGCTGATCCCACCTTCAGAATTTCGGAATCAGTAGCTCTGGAGTGGGGCTAGGGAATCAGCATTTCTTACAAGTTCTCAGACATTCCTGCTGGTCCTAAGAGCACACTTTGAGAACCACTGAATTAACAGAAGGCCTGCTAAGTACAAGGCTCTACATTGGGTACTGAGGATAATGCCAAGATGGGTCCTAATAGAAAGATGGTCCCTGGCCTCAAGGACCTTTCCTTGAGTAATTATGAGGCTTCATGAAAAATACCATAAGAGAGATCTGAATACATTGCTGTAAAATTTCCAGGCAGGGGAAGTGGGGAGATTCCTCCCATTTGTAGGAGAAGGAAGAAGATGTTTGTGGAAGATTCATGGAGGCCCTGGTGTACATGCTGGGCCATGAGGAATGAGAACATGGACATTTGGTGAAAGTGGCAGGGGATAGGCATTCTGAATGGAGGGAACAGTGTGAATAAAGAGAAGTGATCAAGGGCAGCCTATATTTGGGTCCAAGTGAACAATCCAGTCTGGCTAGAATGAAGGGCTTGTGAAGGAGGAGATAACCCCACACAGAACTACTTAGAATTCCCTAG